TGTGTCTTGGCTCTGTTACTTCTAGAGCCTTCTGCTGTTCTTTCTTCTTTCTCCTTAAGTAATACTGATTTCTTTTGGTGAAAACTGATCCCACTAAGTCAAAAACTTAGTGTTGGACTCTAGCGGGGGAATCTGCATACTCATCCAGGTTCTTAAGGGTGGACTTGGCTCCCCAGACTTGCATCCTGGCTGCAGCAGGCTTCAGAGCCAAAAAGCATTCCTCATTCAGGTATAAAAATTTGTCTGGAAGATGAAACCCAGTAACAATTTATAGATAAACATCATGAGGGTCACACTGCGTCATTTTGTGTTTTCTTTGATAGTGACCATATATGATCTGTATTTTTTTTTTTTTAATTTTAGTTCCATTATGCTTTAGTTTATTGAAGTATATGATGTGGTGCTTTATCAGGGGCCTTTCAAAGAACGACTTGCCAAATTTGGTAGTGCCTGGCAATTGTCATTTCCTGCTGGGATGTCTTAAAACGGCATGTAATGGAAAAGGAAACACTGACCTTGCGTACTTAATAAAATTAGAGGAATAGTTGATTTTAGGATTGTTGAAATAATTAGTATTTTGCCTTGAGATACTTTTTAGATTTTGATGTCGATTGATCCTGCAGCCTGAAGTAGAACATGTGAACTTTAAAAGACTTCTTGGGTAGGGCTTCGTGTTCCCTTATGTTTAAATATTTGAAAGGGGAAATGGACTGAATCACAGATTTTGTACTAGGGAATAGGAAATCCCTGAATTGTTATTCAAAAAAATAAGGTTATAAAATTTCTCTTTTAAAACTTCCATTGCAAAACCTGAATCAGCTGTAATGATTCAGATGTTTGAATAATAGGTTGTTTTTGTTTTTTTAATAGTTTATGTCAACATTAACTCTGTGGGAAATCCACTAGACATGTTACAAGAAGAGTACCTGTACCCTCTCTATGTACATCTAGCTTTATCCTTGAGATTCTGGTGTCTCTTTGGGAAAAGTTCTAGTGTTGCCCTAGGTAGGTACCTGGTGGTTATCACAGTGCTTTTCAAACACTAGATGTGACAATTTATTTTTTTATTTTTTATTTTTATTTTTTTATTTTTATTTTTTTAATAAATTAATTTTTATTGGTGTTCAATTTACCAACATACAGAATAACACCCAGTGCTCATCCTGTCAAGTGTCCCCCTCAGTGCCCGTCACCCATTCACCCCCACCCCCCGCCCTCCTCCCCCTCCACCACCCCTAGTTCATTTCCCAGAATTAGAAGTCTTTATGTTCTGTCTCCCTTTCTGATATTTCCCACACATTTCTTCTCCCTTCCCTTATATTCCCTTTCACTATTATTCATATTCCCCAAATGAATGAGAACATACACTGTTTGTCCTTCTCCGATTGACTTACTTCACTCAGCATAATACCCTCCAGTTCCATCCACGTTGAAGCAAATGGTGGGTATTTGTCATTTCTAATGGCTGAGGAATATTCCATTGTATACATAGACCACATCTTCTTTATCCATTCATCTTTCGATGGACACCGAGGCTCCTTCCACAGTTTGGCTATTGTGGACATGGCTGCTAGAAACATCGGGGTGCAGGGGTCCCGGCGTTTCATTGCATCTGAATCTTCGGGGTAAATCCCTAACAGTGCAATTGCTGGGTCGTAGGGCAGGTCTATTTTTAATTCTTTGAGGAACCTCCACACAGTTTTCCAGAGTGGCTGCACCAGTTCACATTCCCACCAACAGTGTAAGAGGGTTCCCTTTTCTCCGCATCCTATTTTTAGAGAGAGAACAGGGTGGGAGGGTGCAGAAGGAGGGGGAGAGAGAGAATCCCAAGTAGGCCCCACACTTGATGGCAGAGCCTGAGGCAGGGCTTGATCTCACGACCCCGAGATGATGACCCGAGCCGAAGTCAAGTTGGACCCTTAACCTCCTGAGCCCCCCCCCCCCCCCAGTTGGACGCTTCACTGCCTCTTGATGTAACAGTTTTTGAGTGAAACACGTGAGATTCTGTAGCTCAGGATACTGAAGGTAAACTACCAATTTTTTTTCCCCCAAGGAAACCTAGAAAAGTCTAACATAAGAAGATTTGACTTTTTCTTTTCTTTTTTCTTCTTCAAGCCAAAGGGAATACATAGAGAAGATGGAAACCCTGTTCTATATATATAGTAGCTGCCAGCCCAGTTCTAAAACAACTGCTGGGTGCATATTTCAATTGCAATTAGGTGAAATCTTTAATTATCAGTTAATTTAACTTTCAAATTTGCCTGCAGAAATGATGGTGTTGATAAGATTCTGGGAGGAGATAAACCTTTTATTAAGTAATTCCATTTTCAGTTGCCAACTTTAAAGATTTTTTTTTTAATTAAAAAAAAAAGGCCTGAGTAAAATTTATGAGGGTGCGGACAGGGGGACAGGGCATGTGTGGCCATGTGTGATTGTGTATTTACTAGTTAATCTTCACCTTTTTGTATCTAGGGCTGTGCTCACTAAGACCTGTAAGTTTGAGAAGCCTAAAGAGAGACACTACCATGGATTCCAAACTAGTATTTTCTCCACACCGTTTCTCTAGCCTTGTTTTCCTCTTGCCTATGCTGATAGGACGATGCATATCAGTTTGTTCAGTGCAGAAGGCATTTTGCAGGGAGAACATTTTTGTGAGCTGATAATCTTCTGAGGCCAGAGGAAGTAGTTTATAGTTTATCAGAGGAAATGAAACGGTATATGCTCTTTTCACCTCACAGTGTAGCCTGATTTTACAAGGCTTTTAATGAAAAAGAGTAAATGAAACTTGCGAGACATCTGGTATTTTCAGTGCTTTTTGGCTGTGCTCACATTATAACGTCTAGAGATGTGGGGCATGTCATTGCTGGCTTTCTTACCGTGATCGCATGTCCTAAGACGTAGTACTAACCCAAACTACATCACTAGCTTCATGCCTGGGCCTCCTGATGGTAGGGGGGATGAGGGTGGTGGTCGGACCCGGGAACCTGTCTTCCCAGCAAGTTCTTCAGGTGATCATAGGCTCGGGCAGGTGCGGGAGACACGGGAGAGATGTCACTCCCACTCAGCTCTGCGCCTAGTGACTGTCTAGAAAGTCAGTGGCCCGGCTGTCCCTCCCTTACGAAGTCCGTAATGTGTTCAAGTGATGGTGCCGCTGGACAGAGTCACCCGGGAAGCTGTGACGGACTATTCATGCCCTGAGTTCAGATCTCGATGAGCTCTGTGTCCAGATGCTCTGTCCCCAGGGATGGCTTTATGGTGGGGTCTTAGTAGCCCAGAGCCAACTCGGGAATCTTTGGTTTGGTCTTGACAAAAACCTGTCCTTGCTCAGGCCATGGGGCTTTGCTCTCTCTTATACTGTGGCCGCTAGCACCCGTGGTTGTTTCAGCTGAAAAAAATGCAGTTCATCAGTTGTGTCTACATGTTCAAGCACTCCCAGCCACATGCGGCTAGTTGGCTGGCCACTGCTTTTTTGGATAGCACAGCCATCCAAAACACATCTCTGTCATCACAGAAGGTTCTACTGGATGGTGCGGCTGTGGGATTTTCTTCCCCAAGCTAGCTCTCTTCCGTTTATCCTGGGTATTTGAGCGGCCAGTTGAGTTAGGTGGCCGGATCCCATGTGCCTGTCTCTCCCAGGGCACACTGCGGTCCAGAAGGCTCTTAGACCACAGGGTTTAGGGTTCGTAAAATGGCGCAAATCATACTTAATTCTCTGAGGTTGACTGCATCAGGAATCTCATCTGTGATGACTCTTAGTATTAGGAAGACGGGTTTCATTAAAGATCTGCTTAACCCATTAAAGATCTGCTTAACTGTATGAGTCATCATAATCCCACCACTAAGATCTCACTGAAAATTATATTTAACCTTTCTTAAATTATACAAATATAAATTATGTAAGTTTAATTTATAAATGTAATTATATTTATATAAATAAATATGAATCATATGTTGCCTATTTATTCCTAGGTAAGACTGCACAGTGATGAACCTTGAGTGTCAAAAGGTTACGTATTGGTGGCTAATGTAAAGGCTGCACCTGTAGGTATTTTCATGTAGACTGTCCTTTAGGTGTAGTTTGGAGTTTGAGAAAAATGAGGTGAATATATTTAGCTCCCTCTTCTGGTGTATTATGAGATGGATATTTTTACTTCAAGTGGTTTTGTGTATTTTGGGAGCGACGCCGCAGTTATAAATGTGATGTTGAGGGCCGTTGTTAGTGTGCCGTCCAGTTCGTTTCTTCTCGTACCACTGCGATTGGTGAAACACGGAGCTGTCGCCTGCAAAAACCAGTCGGTGAAAGCATCACATGTTCTTAAGCTACCGACTGACCAGAATGTACCGACTGACCAGAATGTCAGCCAACGAAGGCTCAGGTGGTGGGGGTACACAGGGGCTTGATTTGAACGTTAACGGGGCCGGTAATCATTTGCAAGTGCCCTGCGTCTAAATATTTTAAAGTTCTAAATCACGTGAACGGACTGTTCGGTCAAATCTGTTCCATCCTCCTACCTGGGCAGTTACTCCTTCATAGTGAATTTAATCTCGGTTTCTTGGGTCCCACGTTCTGCCCCAGAGGATGGTGATGTGGGGAGAGTAGCCCACCTCCCCAGCCTCCGGCACATCCGAATTCAGTCCCACCCCGAGCCCCACACATCCAGCCTGGGCCCAGGGCCCAGCCCCTGGGAGGCCTGCCCTGGGGAGGACGGAGCTGGGGAGGAGGCTTGAGAGGCCAGTCAGGCAGGGAAGTCCTGGATTCCAGCTAAGTGTTCTGAGTGTGTCCCCGGAGAGAGGCGGCCTGTCATCTGGGCCCCCGTCCTTGAAACTTGCAGGGAGAGGCCCCACGGGAATAGGGCCCAGCACCGCGCTCCGTCTTGCTCAGGCCTGAGTTCGCTAGTGTCACAGCTCAACTGTTTTGCTTGCGTCTCACTTCTCCTCCCTGTTGCCTGATGCATTCGATCACCCCAATCGAATAACCATAGGATTCTGTTTGTTTGCAGCCTTGGCCCTTCCGGATCTTGCAGAGCAGTTTGCCCCTCCCGACATCGCTCCGCCTCTGCTGGTGAAGCTCCTGGAAGCCATTGAAAAGAAAGGTAATCAGCGGTCAAGGGGCTCCGTTAATGTGTCATCGAGTCTTATTCCGGGGCTGTCGCAGTTTGCCTCTGTCTGTCGGGTGTCCGTTAAATCTGCTACTTGCGAGCCAGACACACAAGCTCTCTGTCGCCGCGTAGTGCGGAAATAACCTTGGTCCGATTTCTGACTCCACGGTAACATGTACTTACTGTATGGAAACTATTAAATGCTCCATAATTTAATAAATACAATTAACTTGCTCCCTTCGTGGCCAGATGGCTTTGCCAAAATCATTGACATGCCAGCTAAGATTAATAGTAGGGTTTCACTTCCAAGAATACTCGGTACACATCTAGAGTAGATATGGGATGGAAACTGGAATGTCTTTCTGGCAGCAGGCTCACAGGTTCTCCAGAGAGCTGTGTTTTGCATGCTCAGTCTGTTTTGTGTCTTAGGTCTGGAATGTTCAACTCTATACAGGACACCGAGCTCCAGCAACCCGGCTGAGTTACGACAGCTCCTTGATTGTGGTGAGTGTCGTGGCGCTAGAAAGACAAACGGGAAACACAGTCCTTACCTTTGGGTGTCAGATAAAGCGCAGAGTTCTAAGTTGGAGGGAGCTCAGAAATCACGCACGGTTCCCTCTGCCCTATTAGGGTGATGGGGCAAGCCGGCACTGATCTTCGATGTCCGTGTCCTGGGTCGGGGTGTGTGTGCACGCCTGCCTGCAGGCATGTGGCCTGTCCTCATAGCCAAGAGCCTCTGGGCCCCGCAGGACTTGCAGAAGAGAGAAGCGCCCCCTTTGGGATTTCTCTGGCTCTGCCTACCGACCATCTTTCTCTGACTGTAGTTGGCTACGTCGGATTCATCTGGATCAGCTTAAAAAATACTTATGAGTCCATGTCATTTAACAAATGTCTCTTCTGACCTTTTCCATTTTCCTCTCCTTTGTAACATTTTTTTGCTCTTCCTTTCGTGGTCATTTGCTCTCTTGTGCCGTGTTTATAGGAGGTAACATCACGGGCCTGTTGCATTTGGTGGTGTGCTGGTAAACCCAGCTCTCAGGGAGGCAGGGGGACCCTGGTTTGTAGCAATTGGCCGCTTCCACGGAGTGAATATGCCCGCCTCGGCCAGTCTCAGGCTGCCACGTGTCATCACTGAACCCCAACGTGGAAAGCATTGAGCACAGGTGGCCCCTAAGAATAGGCCAGCTCCAGCACACCATTGGGTAAATGACACCGATTAATGTACCCAAGTGGTGGCTTCATTATTTGTTCCTTCTCTTTGCCAAACGGAATAAGACCACCCATGTGAATAAATTCCCTGGCCATCGTGCCAGCAAGTATTATCTTCTGTATTAACTTGCAGGATCTTTCAGGTTCTTCATTCTCCCCCAGAATTTTTTTTTTAGAAAGATAATTTCCAAAAAAAAAAAAAAAAGATAATTTCCCACCTCACATTATTTTAGTTGAATTTGGATGTTGGAAACCGAAAGAACGAAACCAAATTTGGGAAGAGGCTCTTCTTGTAGGAACTGTGCTCATGCGAAGAACGTAGTGGATGAAAATGTGAAGTTGAGGCAGCTCATGACAATTTCTAGAAAAGATGTTCTGGGAAAAAAAAAAAAAAGATCCTATCTCTGTCTGTAAATAGTTTCACCTTAAATGCACCACCCAAGTGTTTGAAGTTTGAAAAAAAAAAAAAGAGAAATGTTTCAAACTTTCATTTTTATTTTGTGCATGGAAACCAGCCTCACACATGTGCAGGGCATGTGCCTTGGTGGCTGTATCTCCTGCCTTAACAGCTGGAGTAGGTCAGTAGGAGCTGACTGGCAGAGAATTCTAGGTGGAACACTTGTACATTACTTCTCACAGCCTCACCCAGAGTGGTAAGGAAACAGTGAATTTTGTCCTTAGTTGCAATTGAGATACATGTTTTGGTCAAAAAATTGGTCACAGGAAGTGTGTAGACATCAGAGACCAGTGACACGGGAGTTATTTGAGAAATCGTGGTTAAGCTTTTAAATGTGACTGAATACAAATGATGCACTTCAGCTGTAGAAAACATCTTTGCATCACCTCTGAGATGGAAGAACTAACCAAAAATCACGTCAGCAATGTATTTTGACAGTTTTTCTTTGCCACTGGAGATCAAAACCCACCCGGAGAAAACCGGTTTCACCTGGATTCTGTGTGATTCGAGTAGAATTTTGTGAGAAGAAAAAAGGGTAAACATCTAAATTTAGGAGTGGAGACTTTTTATAGCTTGAGGATCTTTCAGTCCATAAAAGTATTGTCATACCTTGGAGGAAGCATAAGTCCTACTTTAGAAAAAAAAAAAAAAAGAGAGAGAGAAAAGAAGTCATGGCTTTTAACCAACCTTGTAAGTTAGCAGTGTCTGGAAGGGGTAGATGTAGAGGACAACACCCACCTTTATTAGCACCCTACTATTTTGTTTTGTCTCCATATTACCCCTGTGATAGCCGTATTTGTCACTGCTGATGGCAAAGCTGGGACTTGCATCCAAATTGGTCTCATTCCAAAAGTCCTTATTCTTTGTTTTTTTTCCATTGTATTGACCTAACGTGAATTATATTTTTGTTCTCATTTGAATTTTCTCCTGATTTATTTTTTTATTTTATTTTATTTTATTTTATTTTATTTATTTCATTTATTTCATTTCATTTCATTTCATTATTTTTATTTTTTTTGGTGGCTCTTACCCAGAAGCAGGCATTTTCTTTAAAAGTTCTCATTACAAGAAAGAGAAATTCTGTAGCTCTGGTGGTAGGGGTCAGCTGGACTGACTGGTGATTGTAACATGACCAAAGACCAGATCGTGTTGTTAGGGTCATATATAGGGTTATAGGTCAGCTCTACCTCATTTTTTAAGAGGCTTTTCTAAGCTCACACCTGTCTTCTACTCACTAGATGCCAGTAGCTTGGTTCCTAAACTGTAACAGTCAGAAATGTCCCCAGACATGGAGAGTGGGGGGTGGGGGTGGGGCGGGGTACTAGACTTGAAAACCTCCACTGAGAACTTAGGTAGAGGTCAGCCAGGGAGGCACCCCCTGCCTTCGGGAGGAGCGGGGGTGGGGGGGTGGGGGGTGGAGGGCTTGCTGGTCTACCTGTCTTGAGCTCACTCAGAGTGTAAACTCCTCCCCCTGGGACTGAAAGGCGGTGCAGGTCTCGCCCAGCTAACCTAAGTCCTCACGTAACAGACGTCCTTGGCTCTTGGGGGAGCTCACTAGGGAGGCTGTAACGCAGAAGAGGGGGCGTCCAGAACAAGTCAGGAACTCCCAGGAGCTTCAGAAGTTACCTTGGGAGAACTAAAAACCAGTGTGCCGTGTCACCAACGCTCGTGGATTTGTCGCGAAGGGGGCTTATCCCAAGACTTGAGATAAGACGATTTTCTTCCAAGGCGTGAAGCTCTTTGCCACACGCCTCACGCCTCAGAGAAGGGCTGGGGCGAGTCCCATCGCCCTGAGGACCGTGACAGCTCAGTCCACGAGCATTAGGCCGGCGGCCTGCGCGCGGGGCCCCGAGGGAGCCGCCCGGGCCCTGGGGACCCCCCGGCTGGTGGAGCGGGCCAGCCCGGCGCCGGCGCAGAGGGGGCAGCGGGGGGACGGCCTGCGGAGCGTTGGGCATCTTCTTGTTTTTTGCCATCACCAGGCGGTCTTCTCACCGTCTTTACGATGGGGAAAAATTAGGTAATATTCCTTGGGCAGCGCGACCTAGTGAGTGAAGCCTCCAGGGCATGAAGGGCCCGGGCTGGGGGCCGTGGCACGTCCCTTGGCGGCGCTGGCGGCGCACACAGCTCGGCTGTCACTTCTGACGGGGCCTCTGGGCGCGGACCTGCCCCCGCCTGGCAGCCTTGCACGTGTGGCGCCTGCGGTTGGCGCGCGCTCTCCCCCTCCCTCCCCCCTCTGCTCAGTTTAATCATTCTTTTCCCGCAGCTCATCAATGCACGTCCTCTACCACACGCACTCTCCTCAGCTTTCCTGGGGTCCTGGGCTCCCTCACGGCCCCCCCCCCCCCCCGGGTCCCTCCTCAAGGCCCCGGTGCCCCAGAGGCCTCCCCCGCCGTGGGGCGCCCGCGGCCCTTCCGGCCCCAGCACCCCTCCTTCTGGGGCCACTGGGGCTTCTCCTACCCGGGCACGGAGAGCGCGGCTCGGGGTGGTGCCGCCCCGAGGCGTTACTGTCCGACCTCTTTTCCCGCCGGAGGCTTTCCTGGACAGATGGGCTCATCCTGTCATTTTTTTCCCCCCAAAGATCTTTATGTATTTATTTGACACCGAAAGTGGAAGCGCACGCAGGGGAGCAGCCGCCGAGGGAGAGGGAGAAGCAGGCTCCCCGAGCGCACCCAGGACCTGAGACCATGACCTGAGCTGGAGGCAGACACTGAACCACTGAGCCCCCGGGCGCCCCTTGTCCCCCCTTCTGGGCTCGTTCAGTGCCACAGATGAGATGAGCTGTATCCTCATCAGAAGACCGTGTCAGCTTTAGGGGCCTAAACTTTCTAAGAATGTTAAAGATATCCTTCCGGCTATTTTTGAGATCAAAGGGTAAATCCCACATATCTTACGTTTGTTCATTCGCTCTGTTGAGCTAAATACCATGAACTCTGAGGTGCATGCAGCATTGAGCAACGCAGAACTTAGGCAGTCTCTGGATTTGTGGCCCCTGCATTCCTGTTGGGGTTTTCCGGAAGCCTTTACTGATTAGCCATCCCTGGACAGAGGCCTTCGCAGGGCACACCCGCCCTCCAGAAGGCCTGGAAATCCCGGGGGGCCACTGTAAGTTGCCAGGGCTGCCATTACCACATGCCACAGCCTGGGGGGCTTCGAACACAAACCTGTCTTCTCACCGTCCTTGAGCCTGGTCGTCCCAGATCACAGCACCTTTGGTTTCCTGTGAGGCCTCTCTCCTTGGCTCACGATGGCCACCCTCTCACCGCGTCCTCGCAAGGCATTCCCTCTGTGCTTCGGTTCCTGGGGTCCCTGCGTGCGTTCACGTTTCCTCTTCTTACGAGGACACCAGCCTAGTTGGATCAGAGCCCGACCCTAAAGGCCTCATTTTAACTGAACCACCTGTTTCAAGGCCCTTTTCTCAAAATACGTTTATCTTCGGAGACCATGGGAGTTAGGGCCTCACCCTATGACTTGCAGAGGGACACAGTGCAGCTCCTAACGGGGCAATTTTTTTGTTTTTATTGTTGCCCCACAGTCTGGGAACGTGCCTCTGGCATCATGGGCAGGAGCCATCACGCTCAATGCTCAGCACTTGAGGGACAGACTTCCACAAGGAAGAATTGTTCTATTTGCAGTGCCAGGAACAACCGCTGTGAGAAGCACTGCTGATAAATACTCGAGAGTTTTATAGCTGTCCTTGCACTGCTGCCTTTCGTGTGTCATATTTAAGTCAGATGTTCAGAAAAATTGGCCCAACCGATATGTACGACATCTGAAATGCCTTTTTTAAATGTTTCTGTCGCAGATGCCGCCTCCACGGACTTGGAAATGATCGATGTGCAAGTCTTGGGAGACGCTTTCAAACGCTATCTTATGGACTTACCGAATCCTGTCATTCCAGTAGCCGTTTACAATGAGATGATTTATTTAGCCCAAGGTTTGTCTTCTGTTCTGAGAACCTCAAAGAGCATGTATTGGTATGCGGGGGTGCGTGTAAACTCTAGTAAATCCTGCATATGAAGAGTCACGTTCTAGGAGATCTTAGTGGGAACGGGCCCCCTCCTGGCACCCTCCCTCCCCAGTAGCGCCGGTTCGCCCCCTTACCAGGGCATCCGGAACAAGACCCAGGTCCTCGTTGGCCAAGGAGGACTGTCCATGGGTTGAGATGGCTAATTGTTGACCTTTTATCAGCATTAACAGAGTTCACTACGTCACTGAAGGCCACCGTGTTCCAAGTGCCATCTTTGGATTCAGGGGAACCAGGGACCCGGACCCATGGGCCGGGGTGGTTCTCCTCATTTTCCTCGAGTGGCCATTACAAGATGTGTTGAGGGAAGAGGACTCTCAGGCTTAGGAGCTTATTGCTCAGTTAAATGCATTGGGGACAGGAAACTGTGGTTCGTAACCTTCAAAGTTAGAACGAGTGATGCTTATCTGATGCTCCTCCAAATCAGCCAATCACACTCGAAGCTGCTCAATAGAGGGCAGATCTCAGCCAGCACACCCTGATCCTCTTGCGGTTTTTTTTAACACCCAAGAGTTTCTTGCATTTCCATTTGACTTGAGATTTCTCCTTGCTCACAACGCCTTTTCTAATGAGAAGAGCAAATGTACTGTCCATTGCATCTGATGACTTGATTTAAAAGGGCTCGTTCTTCTGCGGCTAGAAGAACAGAAATGTTCTGGGTGTTTGGTCACTGACATCTAGGAACAATCTCATCTTCCTTTTTTCTTTTCTTTCTTTTTTTTTAAAACTGTAGAAGTGCAAAGCTCTGAAGAATATATCCAGCTGTTGAAGAAGCTCATTAGGGCACCTAACATACCTCATCAGTATTGGCTTACGCTTCAGTATTTGCTCAAACATTTCTTCAAGCTCTCGCAAACCTCCAGCAAGAATCTTCTGAATGCAAGAGTACTCTCTGAACTCTTCAGCCCTCTGCTTTTCCGATTCCCAGCAGCCAGGTAAGGTAAAAGGAGAGGAGCATTGCATTTTTGGGTGATGGGGGTGGTCCAAACCTGATGGGTCATTAAACTTATTCTAAGGACACTCGCTCACAGATGCATGTGCACCTTTATGCCCGACAGACACACTGACTTGAGTGTGTATAAGTGAATGTGAGTTTGTTGTTTAGGAGAAAGGTTTCTAATAAAACTCTTCTCTCCTTTCTGTAGCTCTGAGAATACTGAACACCTCATAAAAGTTATAGAAATCTTAATCTCAACGGAGTGGAATGAACGACAGCCTGCACCAGGTAATGCCTTCTGAACTGTTAAAATTCTCATGGTTCTTTTTTTTTTTTTTTCCTTTAGAATGGTAGCTTTAGACCTTCTCTGAAGTGACATGAGTTTCTTCTTAGACTCGAGATCCATAAGGTGTTGCCTTGCGATTTACAGAAAAGGGGGGCTGAGCGGTAGTATATACGGTCAACAGCACCTGCATTTCAGTATCCGTGGGTTTTAGGTGATCTTAGTTTTAGGTGAGAGTTGTTGGGAGACCTCGCCCTGTCTCTCAGTTTTGATGCTTCCAGTTGTTGCATGAATTATGGAGCTCATTTTAGTTGTTGACGTTCTTGTTTTTCTTTCTAATACTTATAAAGTAGGGGATTTATAATTACTATATAATCTGAAGTATTTTGGAATGTGTTTTTTGGAAGCAGGTATGCTGAGAAATGTCTGTCAAAATAAACATTTTCAATAATGCAAGCAGTATGAGACCGGGGTGTTCGTTGCAGCAAGTTGGAGCAGGCCAGACACTTCTTTGAAAGCAGCTTGGCATTCAAGTAGCCATTTAACAAAGCAGGAAATGTAGACCATGCTAGCAGTGGGTTTAATTTAAACTGACGTATTTTTTCTTCTACTGTGGAAAGTCTCAACAAACCCCACTCTGCTGTATACTTGTTAAAAGTTAGCCACCAGAAGCTGGTCATTGAGAAGAATGATCAGGGCCCAGTAAGTGAAGTTCAAGTTTCAGGACCAGTAGAGAATGTGGTCTTAATTTATGCCTAGAATTAAAGTAAAACATCATGAATTCACTCTTTATTATAGGTAACTCATGCAAACTACCCAGCTTCTCCCTGTATAAATGGGCATGGGGACCCACAGATGTGCGTGCGGCCACGGGGAATTAAGTCATGCCTTTGTAGGTGCCTCACAGCCTGGCGTGGGGGTTTGCAGCCCAATGGGGCAGACTGAGAGGGAGGGGCCTTGGGCTTAGAACCCACCCGTGTGCACGGCAGGATGGGATAGGTATTTGAAAGGGCTCCTGCAGCTGGGCCCAGAATATGGTATCTGGAGGTAAGAGAGGCTGCAGAAACAGTACGTGAGGGCACGTGTGGTATGTTCCAGATGTTCCAGGTCCCAGCCAGCAGCATGTTCAGGGGGGCTACTCTGAACTGTAGGAGAATGGCAGCAGACACATCGGTCACCAGTGGCCTAGGGCTTTAGTCCAGGGGCGCCCAAAAGGTTTCCTCTCACGCGACTCCTTGTTAATGGATTTGGGGACTCTGTGTTGGGGTTCAGAGGCTGCCTTTGTGCTCAATAGGAGAGATTCAGTGGTAGGTCACAAGTACCCTGTGCTGAGGGGACAGGGGGCGGGTGTGAAACATGACAGCTTTCGTGACTGCCCCTCTCCCTCAGCCCAGCCCAAACACCTGGATGGGGAAAGAGGCTGAGTAACAACAAAACAGGACCCTGGGCCAGAGGGCAGAGCCCTGCCTTCCACTTCCTTGTGGTGTGTGCGCTGGGGTCTGTCTCAGGGACCAGGGACAGCTGAGCCCTGCTTGCAGTGAAGCGCTGAGGGTGGTCCCGGTCTCCTCAGAGCCCCCACCCTTCAGGAGATGGGGACACATGGAAGCTTAAAAGCCAGCCTGAGTTTGGTAGATACCCACCGGTGGGAATCCGTGTTGGAGTTTAATCAGTCTGACTGGTGAAAACTGGTTAAACGTCCTCATCAGTTTCACTCTAATTCCAGCAAAAAAAAAAAAAAAAAAAAAAAAAAACTTTATTTTATTTATTTATTTTTTACATTTATCCTTTTTCGCAATGGACACTTAAGACTGCCTGCTAGGTCACAGACCCTGCTGCATTCCTCTGCCAAGAAACCGGTGTGCCAGTTTCCAAGGTGGGTTAGTCCCCCGCTGGCCGGGGTGAGTGGTAAACAACACTCTAAATGTTTACTGCTCCCCGTTTATGCAGCCTCTTCAGGTAAATTGCATCTGAGTAATCTCGAAACCCCAGGTTGAGCCATTTTTCCCTTTGTGCGGCATCTCTTAGCTATTCTGAAGAATGTATAGGCTCTTTGGGAGCCAAGAGATACTTCAGGGTATGTCTGACTTGTGGGAACGGATGGAGGCCCTCGTCCTGAACACCTTTGTATTCAGGAACAGATTCACACAAGTGATGGGCAGGACACACCCTTGGGCAGAGAGATGATTCCTTAGGCCTGGTAGGAATCTGACATCTTCCTAGACTCCTCCGTCATTGCCCAGCATGTGCTGTTCCCAGAGCATCTCCAGTGGACGCTCACCCATCCTTCATTGGCAGCAACTTTTTTGTCGTGAATAGAAACAAGTACTTGCATGATTTGGGGGAAAGAGAGGGAAGCAAGGCTACTACGGGATAGACGGACATCTTTGGTAGCTTTTAACCTGCTAGAACTATGAAATGATAGGCAAAACTGATGATGTTTGAGGCGATGTGTCAATGCATTTATGTGAGACCATTAGCACACAGAATCTTAAGTATTAGGTGGTAGGAGGGTGTCTAACTATGAAGAGAATTGTAGAGATGTGGTGGGTGACACGGAGGATGATTGAGTAGATGGAAAAGGCTTGGAGGGAAAAAAATGGGCTTGAAATGGGCTTTGAGGAATTGGTACAGTTTGAAGAGGGGGAGAGGAAACAATATTTCACTTCAAGGAGTTCCAAAGGCTTAGTAAGAATACATTGCAGAGTACAAAAAGGATGGCTTGCTACACTAGATGTTAAGGAGTAAATGTTTTAAATGAAGAGTATCATAAAAGGCATCATTTTTGAGTTGAAAGCTTTGTCCCACTCTTCCTTTGCTCCTAAGGAGACGGAAGCACCCCCAGAAGTTGAGAGCATCCCCTGGTGCTGACCAAGCAGTGTGAGCCAGAACTGGGTCACCTGTGCTGCAGCTGCTGCCTGGGGTTTGGGGGGGAACCTTCATGAGGAGTGGGGCTGCATGTCATGTCCGTTCCAAAGTCCTCTGAAGTTTCCAGTACAAGCCACATGCGGTGAAGAACCCCAGGGCAGTTTTTACAGAATCACCCCACAGAGTCTCCAGTCGATCTAGGTTTGAATCAGCTCTTGCTACTTATTTATTTGCTGAGTTCCTAGCAAGTAACTCAGCCTTTCCAAACTGTGTTCTAATCTGGGAAATAGAAATAATGCCTCTCCCCGGGATGGGTGTGAGATTTGAAGGAGGTGATAAGTACTGCACCTCAGGACCCACAGCCTGTCTCTACCATCGCTCAACTCTGGGTTTTGACCCACCTTCCAGAGGGGGCCCCCTTCTGTAGCTCCCAGCACCTTGCTGCCGTCAGGCCCTTCTCGCCCCTGAGCCCATGCTGCCAGCCAGCCAGCCAGCCAGCCAGCCAGCCAGCCCAGCTGGGCCTCTAGGCGCCTGCGCGGGTTTCCCTGCTAATCTGCAAAAGACACACTCACTGAGCAGGTGCTGCTCCGTGGGTGCATTGCCTGGAGGGAGCAAGGTTCCTTACTGAGTATCATGCCCTTTCCCCTGTGTGTGGCCTGGTGGGTGGAGGCCCCTGGGTTTCTGTAGCAGCTCCCCAGCCACGTGCTTCTGTGCAGTGCACAGAATGCACAACCACACAGAGCAGCGCATAGCAGTGCCGTCGACTTCATCTCACAGGTAGGTCGTGTCCCTGCCCGAGGTAACAGTGATCAATGCCATTCAGTAGGTTTATGCCCTTAAGACCTGGTCCTCTTAAACTTAGCTTATTGTCTAGTTTTTCCTGTTGTTTTCTGCTCAGCTACGTCGTTCCTCAAGGACACAGGTTGCTTCTCCCATTGAGCTCCTCCTAGCAGTGAGCAAAAGCAAAAGATAACAATCATCCAAATGAATTTTTGAAATTTCTTTGACAAACTAACCAACTTTCAAAGAACTTTGGCACACCCACTCATTTAAAGCATCCAGCAACCCATGAAGCAAGCATCTCCCCTCTGTGGAGGGAAACTAACGTTTGAAAGGTTAAACACAGAGTCCCGAGGTTCTCAGAACTTGGATAGGTCTGCTGTTCCCTTTGTTACAGAAAGTCTTAAAAATACCGAAAGCTGAACAGCAGGTTTTCTTGAATCATTAGGTGTTCTGTTTACCCTACTGATACTCAGGTAGCTAAAGCAGATTTCTATAGGGCAGCTAAGGTAAAAACAGGACCATTTAACACAGGCTGGCTCTGAATGAAACCCATTCTAAGTGTATTTACATATTTCAGATTTCATGGATATATTCAGAAATATTAATGCAGCATAATTGAAGTCTAATATTGCACCCTCAAGCCCAGAGTGGAAAATAAATGACTCTTTCTCCCTCCTGCCCTTCTACACCTGTCAGAGTTAATGTTTAACCACTGGCACATTGCAAAACATTCATCCTGAAGAGCCCGATTCATAAATCTTGTTTTAAATGCTCTGGGCTTGGTTTTCAACCAGGACTAAAGCAAGCACTAAGGTAGAGGGAAATGACTTTCAAAGAGTTTTACTTTCTCTGATTTATTTTTTATTGGATTTAAAATGTGGTCTGACATTAGAGGGTTGTTTCAAAGGTGAGAAATGAAACTAGAAAAAAATGCATATATTTAGATGGATAAGAATAAACAAAGAGGCAGGCCATACTGGGTTATAACGAAAAATAGGAAGTTTTATTGGTGCTCTGATAAAGAAATGTATTTCAGGCTGCATATATATTGATGGGGTATCGGTCAGCTTTTGTTCTCACGGCGCAGCCTTCACCTCTCCAAGGAGGACAGCGTCTGAGAGGGAAGGCAGCGCTTTATTCTGCTAAGCAACGGTCACACCTTTTCACATAGTTTGTAGAATGTATCCTATGGAAATCTGGGTTTACTTATAAATTCAAGTGAACCCTTCGTGCAGTGTCAGATAAAGAATTTGCATCATACTGAAAGGTCCTCTGTCCTAATTTGTCTTAAGTTAAAATTATGAAGGGAGGCATTCATTTAACCCTTGAAGATTTTGGTTCTTTATTTTTCTTTTCT